CACTTGCAAAACAAAACAAAACAAAAACAAAAACAAAAACAAAAACAAAAACAAACAAAAAAATTAAATAAATAATTTAAAAAAAGAAAAGAAAAGCTGCTCGCTTTTCTTTGGCCTCAGGCGCCGGCCTCAGGGACCTGCTCACCGGTCTTGCTGCCCTGTTTCCCTAGTATTGGGGTCCCTGTCCGTTTAAGACTTCCAAAAAGCACTCGCAAAAAAAAGCCACTTGCTTTTCTTTGTTCTCTGGCACCGGCCTCTGGGACCCGCTCACAGGTCTTGCTGTCCTGTTTCCCTAGTATCCAGGACCCCACGCATGTACTGTGTGTGCTGTCTGGTGCGGATGGCTGGGGCTGGGTGTTCAGCAGTCCTGGGCTCCCTCTCCCTCCCGGCTTGGACTCCTCTCCTCCCGCCCTGAGCTGGGGGGAGGGGTGCTCAGGTCCCGCTGGGCTTGGGCTTGTATCTTACCCCCTTTGCGAGGCGCTGGGTTCTCGCAGGTGTGGATGTGGTCTGGATGTTGTCTTGTGTCCTCTGGTCTCTATTCTAGGAAGAGTTGTCTTCGTTATATTTTCATAAATATATGTGGTTTTGGGAGGAGATTTCCGCTGCTCTACTCATGCTGCCATCTTGGCTCCACCTCTGTTCATTTTTTATTTGTTTTCCTTTGCCCAGGAGATGTGTCTAGGAAGAAGTTGGTCATGTTATATTCAAGAGATTTTTGCCTGTCTTTCTTATAAGAGTTTATGGTTTCATGACTTACATTCAATTCTTTGATCCATTTTGAGTTACTTTTGTGTGTGGAGTTAGATAATAATCCAGTTTCATTCTCTTACATGTAGCTGTCCAGGTCTCCAAACAACAGTTGTTGAAGAGGCTGTCTTTTCTCTATTATATATTCATGGTTCCTTTATCGTATATTAATTGACCATACATGTGTGGATTTTTATCTGGGCTTTCTATTTTGTTCTGTTGATCTGTGGGTCTGTTCAGAGAGCTGTTGTTTTAACTATACTTAGTTCCCATAGGCACATGCTCCAGTCATTTTTAAAAGACTATTGTGTTACTTAACAAGCATATTTTTTTTGCTGACTCCCTGTTTTTTGGTTGTTGTTTTTTTGGGGTTTTTTTCTTTTCCAGAGATAGAATTTCCTACAGTAAAATGCATAGATCTTAAATGTACAGTTAGATTAATTTTGACAAATTCATACATGTGTGTTGCCATACCTGAATAAAGATAAAGGCTTTCTGTTAGCCCAGAAAATTCCTTCATGTTCCTCATTAGTCAGTCCCTTCCCACCCCGACAAAACCATTCATGTAGGTTTCTATCACCATAGATTAATTTACCAGTTAACCTCTTATATTTTTCAAATTAAAACATCCTAGCTTTATTTGTATGGATCAGATTCCTACAAATGTTTGTTATTATGGTGTTTTGAGTCTCATTTAAAAGATCCTAATTCTGAATATTTTCTTTTTCAGAAGAAGAAAAGAAACCCAAGAAACCTCGTAAGTTGTGCATTTCTGCATCTCTGTTTCTTGAGACTAGCCAAGTGCAGAACTAAATGCTGGCAGTGAAGCTGAGCTGTTTTATCAGGGTTCTGTGATGGGGTGGGAGCTCTGTGATTATGTTATGCAGTGGCAGGGGGTCCTGAGGACAAGTGTAAGTGTCCAGACAGATGAGGACCCACCAGTGTTGTCCAGGCTGTCCAGGAGTGTGTTTGTAGAAGTGGCTCTTGAAAAGGAGCATGGAAAGGAGTACAGGCCACCAAGTCACACTGTGTGTCATGTCCCTATTCATCCCCAGCTGTTGCCATGGCTTGCCCTGCCACACCCTGCAAGACTCTCACCTTTGGAGCCCCGGAACAGTCGGTGGATGTAAAACAAGCTGCCAGTCTGGACGGTGAGTTACCTGGGGGCAAGGGCAGTGGGGTGGCCGCTCTTTGTTCTGAAAACGTACAGACTCTCCCTGTATCCTCACCCAGCTTCAGTCAAAGCCACCAGCGTGCAGCCGAACTCAGCGTCTCTCAAGACCAAGGTGCTGGAGACCTTCTTAGCCAAGTCGCGGCCTGAGCTCCTGGAGTGTGAGTGGTCTCTTCTCGGGCTCGGGCTCTCCTGTGCAGCCCTTGCCCTTGTGTCTGTCCAGAGGGCCAGTGTGGTCGGCTCCTGTGCTTGTCAGCCATACACCAGTCCTGCGCCATGTCCACTCTTACAGGCTCCCTTCTGTCAGCTCCTGCCTTCTTAGCCAGCAGTCCTTTGAATGCCCTTTTGCTGTCCAGTCTGGCTAAGCCCAGGCCAGGTTGAATCCAGCCCACCCCTTTCTCTGCACCTGCCACCAGCGGCCGTGCGGGTGCCGTCACTGGTGGTCCCCTGCCAGCCCTGCTGCTCTGGTTTCCTGTCAGCCCCATCATTCCAGAACCTTCCCATGTGCCGTAAGTGCAGTCTTCTCCCTGTCCCACCCACCATCCTCTGCTTCACAGAGAAGAGAGACTCCCCAGAGGGGCTCCCCATCCTCTCACTGTATTGCCATCTCCTGGGCACCTGCACCCTCTCCCTCCAGCCCTTCCTGCTCCTTCCCAGAGCCCGTCCCTCCTGCTGCTGGATCCCACCCCTCCTGTTCTGGGCCTTCTTGGTCCCGCTGCTTCACCCTCACCTTCTGTCCTGGGGTTTGCCCATCCATTGCATGTTTAAATTTCCCTCATCACAAAAGTCAAACAAAACAAAACGGGCCACACCTGCCGACCTTTCTTGGCTACAGCCCTGGGTCTGCCTCCCTCTCACCTGAGTACTTGTTAAAGATACGAATTCCTGGGCCCCACTCCAGTCCTAAGGATCAGATTGCAGGGGACTAGCAGAAAAAGTTGTGTGTTGAACTCATTTTTTCTATGACCCTTTTAAGGAAAGTTGGAAAAGTACAGCTGTCAGGACGGTCTGTGGTGGTGGTGCTCCACTGCTCTGCACCTTGGACTCCCCGAAGGGCTTTTTAACATCCCTGATGCCCAAGCTGTCACCCAGCTGGCTCCAGGTTCAGTGTTTCTGGAAGGTGCCCCTGGGTAGTGGTGAGGCCAAGGGCCTTGTCTAATCGCTGGACCAGCACAGTCTGGCCTCCATCCCCACCCCTCTAGCAGGACAGCTCTGGCAGAGGTAGCCAGGGCCTCTGTGAGGCTGCATTCAAAGGACGGTCCAGCTTTCATCTGGCCTGTAAGGGTCAGCGTCCTCCTTGTAACCTCTTCCCCATGGCTGCCCAAGCCCTGGTACTCCCCTGGGCTTCACCTGCCCCTGGGGCTACTCCTTCTCAGGCCCCTTGAAGCTCACACTCCTCTTCTCTGAACAACAGCAAGTGGTTGGAAATCTTTACGTAAGGCCAGGCCTAGGGAGTTCCTCCCACTATTGCATCCATGGCTTTACACACACGGCGCCCTCCACTCGTGCCCACATCCATGCAGCGGCCAAAACCTGTCTCTGAGAAGTGCATTCCTGGCCCTCCTTCCTCTGTACCTGAGCAGTTTTGATGGGGATGTGTAGGTGGCTTCAATTTCTCAGGGCTGGCCTCCTCGGCCTTCTCTGCAGTGCTGGTCCTGGGCCAGAGCTGACTGTGGATCATCAGCTTCTGGTGGGGGTGCCGAGCCGCCCGTTTCTGGAGCCCCCTCTGCTCTGTGGAATAGCCATGTAAGCAGGGAAAGTGAATTCTGGCAACTTAGGAGAACATTTTCCCTAGCCCACTCCTTTTGCCCAGGGGAAGGTGTGGGCTCCAGTGAAAAGCATTCTGCCTTAAGCCACCTAGCCATGGAGTGGCAGTGGGTGGTGCAAACCTAGTCTCCTGGTTCCTGAGTTTCTGAGTTCCTGAGCTAGGGATTGACCTTCTCTGCTATGCTGCCCATAATGTGTCTCCCACGGGTCTAGGATCCCCTGTGAGGAGGGGGACAGGGATGGGTGTGTCCCAGCGGGGAGGTGGATGGTAGAGACAACCCTCTGCGGAGTTCAGTCTTCAGATGGGGAACTGGTTGGAAGGGTGGGGAGGCCATGCTAGTGTCCCCACCAAGGACAGAGTCAGGTCATTTGTGTGGTTAAAACTTCACCCGGCTCCCTGCTTCCCACCAATTGAAGTATAGACCCCTTGTCTCTCCACTCTGTGGCTCCAGCGTGTGTCCCGTCCCTGCTGTGGCCTCTGTGCCCCTGGCTGCCCAGCTCTCCTGGCCCCAGTGCATGCCCGTGGCCTTGTGACTCCATGGCTTACCTTCCCTGTCCCCTTGCTCAGGGCAGCTTTTCTCTCTCCTCTCTTCTGTTCAGTTTTCTCTTCCTATTGCTTGGCTCAGATTCCAGCCTATTTTGCTCTCTCCACTCTTCTAGTACAGCCAGTTGTCCATGTCTGTTCTTATAGCAATGTGCCCACCCTTTCAGCAGAGTGGGGGGCTTCCGGTGCTGTTACTGATGGGCTTGCCTTGCTTGTTAAGAGTTTGAAGGCCAGGGGGCCAGGCACTATGTCTGCTTTGGGATTGTGTGTCTTGCACAGAATCTGGCATGAATCATGTACTCAGTAAATGGTTTTAGATGGATGAATAGACAGATTGATTGGTGACTGACAGATGGACAGATGGATGGGTAGACTGATGGACAAATATCTGGCTGGCTAGACTAGATGGATGGATGGATGGATGGATGCATGGATGGGTGGATGGATGGATAGATGGATAGATGGGGAGACAGATGACTGGATGGATGAATAAAACAAATGAGCAAGTACTACCAATTGGAGAGAGTTTTAAAAGTGAGGGCACTTTGGGCTCTTTGTAATTGATTGCTTGGGGTAATGCTTTCGTAGATGCTGTTAAGTTAACCCTGGACTACAACACCGCCCACAACAAGGTGGCTCTGTCAGAGAACTACACTGTTGCCTCAGTGGCGGACTTACCCCAGAGCTACCGGCCACATCCCCAGAGGTTCACGTACTGCTCTCAGGTGCTGGGCCTGCACTGCTATAAGAAGGGGATCCACTACTGGGAGGTGGAGCTGCAGAAGAACAACTTCTGTGGGGTGGGCATCTGCTACGGAAGCATGAAACGGCAGGGCCCTGAGAGCCGGCTCGGCCGCAACAGCGCCTCCTGGTGTGTGGAGTGGTTCAACACCAAGATCTCTGCCTGGCACAACAATGTGGAGAAAAGCCTGCCCTCCACCAAGGCCACGCGGGTCGGGGTGCTGCTCAGCTGTGACCATGGCTTCGTCATCTTCTTTGCCATTACTGACAAGGTCCACCTGATGTATAAGTTCAAGGTGGACTTTGCCGAAGCCCTGTACCCGGCCTTCTGGGTGTTCTCTGCAGGTGCCACGCTCTCCATCTGCTCCTCCAAGTAGGAGCAGCTCTCCAGCTCCTGCTGCCTGTGGAGTGCCCAGACTCCGATGAAAATGCTGCAGGAGGAACTTGGAGAGCTTCCCTCAGAGTCCCCGAGGGCTGGGGTGGGGGTGATTTGGTGGGAGGTGAGAAGGTGGGGAGATGGGGTAAGAGGAGGGGCTCTGCCAGGGAAAGCTGGGGCATGGGGGTGGTTGTACTGTGGGCAAGGAAGCATCTCCACCTCCCAGTGCCCATTAGGGCATGATGACCTCCTCCCCCTGTCCTGGTAGCTCTCCAGGCTGCTGGGCAGCTGGCCAGGGCTTTGAGTCAGGTCAGTGCCCCTCCCCTCCTGGAGAAGCCACAGCCCCACCCAGGCTCTCCGGCCTCTTGGCGCCTCCCCTTTTGCTCTCTGCAGTAACCTTCAGATCTTGGTGTTCAGTTAGTCTCTGAAGGGCTATCACAAAGTCATTGAATTTCAATATTACCCCCCAGTATCCATATGTAGGGGCTGGGGTGACACTCAGATTCCTGGTTATTTTCTGTGCTTGCAGGAAATGGCCCACAACAGGCCTCCACCCAGCCAAGTTTCCCAAAGAAGGGGGTCCTCTTCCTCCACTGGGAAAGAGCCCTACTTCCCTCCCTGCCCTGTGCCCCTCATCACCCCATCGGCGGTTTAAAAATATTAAATGGAAGAGAAGCCTTTTCAGCCTAAGGCTTCAAATCATGATCTGAATCAGCCTGTGTTGAATTTGTGATTCAAGGTCAGTGTGAACATGGCCCCAAGTGGAGGGAACCCCTCCCACTGAAGTGTGACCAAAGGCTTCGTGGCAGAGATGCTCCGGCTGCAGCTGTGAGGCCTTGCTGGAGGCCTTCCACGGCCTAGGCTTTGGGGCAAGGATCTGCTGGGCAGCCGAAGCCCTAACTGGGTTGGCAGAAGTGTGCTGGTTTTGCCTTTAGGAGGAGTGGCTTGCCTTTTTACTCATAACTCCCCTGAGTGATAATCTCCCCTCCCCAGGACTGTGAGATACTGGACTGGCTGGGGTAGGTACCACTCTGGCCAGCACAGTAAAGTGGACAGCCAAGCTAGATGTCTGGAGCCTGCTATCACAGTGATGGGCCTTGAGTGGCTGCCTCAGGGACCATCCTAGGTTACCTGATGGGCCTTCCAGCAGATCCCATGTGAAATGGTGGCACTGCTGTTCATCCCCAGCCACAGGCTGCAGACCCAGTGCCGCCCCTCACCTGAGTCAGAGGTCTGGCACCAGCCCTGGCCCCTTCTGCTCCCTTCCTCGTTTGAACCAGTTCCAAATGTGAGAATTGGCCAGGCTAGGGATCATGAAGACTAACGACCAGGGACAAGCTCCAGGTCTCAAGCACAGGGGCTATTTTTCCTGCAGTGTTTCTGTGCAGTAAAAATAACCTCAGTCCAGTAAGGGGCGGGAGTGAATGGGTTGCTGGATTTTCCCAAGCTCCTCAGCACCTGATGTCAAGAGGTAAATTCTCATCCCAGAAGTGGGAGAAACTGAACTTGTTGTGAAACAAGTCCTGCTCTGGGCTTGCCCAAGAAGGGAGCTCTTTGTGGTATGAAAAAGAGGTTACCCCTGGGGGAGTGGGGACCCCAGACCTTTTCATACGGGTATTTGAGAATTTAATGCATCTCTGGCCTGATGCTGAATTCCAGGGTGCTCTAGTCAGGTCCAGAGCACTTGATATTCCAGACAGATGTGTCCATCTGTGTGCATCTCCCGGCAAGGACTTGAACTTCCTTGGGGGAGAGAGCATTGTAGGGAAGACATCCCTGCAATAGCTGAGGTGTGGTTTTAAAAATTTTTCTTCCTTTGCTACTGGGAAGAAAAGTTCTTTGGTGATTGTCCTCTGCTTTTGGAGATGGTCAAAGCACCTTCATTGGTCTTCTGAAGCAAAAGCCTTTTGAAGCCAAGGCATACTTGGGAAATAGCTGAGTAGAGGAAAAGAATGCTAGGGATTAATCCATGGGACCTGCTGTGGCTCTCATCTGCAGAAATGAGGGCAACAGAGAGGGATCTTCCCTGATGATCACCCAGCACAGGATAGGGAAGGGAGTCCCTCTGTTTATAAGAAAGCAAGTAGGTGACCCCAGCTGAACCCTGTGAATCCTACTTTGGAGATGTAAATTGAGTAGTGCGCCCTTGCTGTCTTGAGCAGTTCTGTTTTCAACAGTGAACCCTTGCATTCCCTCCCTTGCAGGGCAGCTCCCCAACCCTGGAGTCCTAGAGTTGGGGAAAACTATTCATTGGTCTCCTTTGGCAGAATAAGTCAGACAGGGAGGTAGTGGATGACGCTGCTCACTGCTCTTACCAGCCCATCATGGAGGAGCTGCCTCCTAGGTGCCTTCTGACTCACTCTGGTGTGACCAGGCCAGGGTCACGTGTTTTTTTATTATTCAAGAGTGGACAGTTCCCCTATTGTAATGAAATGGATCTAGGATCTATAACTAATATTGATATGTTATCTTGTGCCTTATTCTGTCCCCACTCCCACTATTGATTTTAATTAATTAGGAGTATTGGGACTGTTAGTTCTCGAGTTTATGCATTTAAAGAGCTGATTCCTTAGGAGCTAATCAGAGTAGATCTGGATCTTTTGAGACCCTTAAGAAATACCAGGGTCCAGGCTGGCTGACATGACTTAGAAGCTTTGGATGTAGTAAATCAGTGGTAGGTATTCTTCCTTGCATCTCAGTATAGCACTTTTCTGAGTTCTGTGAGTTGCAGTGAATGAATCTCAGGGAGGTCATGTGCTATAGGCTGGATGTTTGTGTTACCCCCAAATTCCTATGTGGAAATAACCTCCCAAAATGTGATGGTGTTGGAGGGGATTGGGTCATGAAAGGGGAGCCCTCATAAATGGGATTAGAACTCATAAAAGAGACCCCACAGAGCACCCTCACTCCTGCCGTGTGAGGACATGGCAAGATGGTTGTCTATAAACCAGGAAATGGCTCCTCACCAGCCGCTGAATTGGCCAGTCTGTGGATCTTAGGCTTCCAGCCTTCAGAACCTGTGAAAAATGTTATTTAAGCCACCAGTATTTTTGTTACACATCCTGGATTGAGACATCATGGGAACTGCGAAACTGATTGAAGGAAACCTCATTTAAAATGGAGTTAATGAGCCCAAAAAGGGTAACTCTCTCACTAAGCCACTCTGCAACCCTTTGCAGATCCCAACAGGAAGAGCGTACCTTTTGTTCTTAACAGGAGGAAACCTCTACTTTATGCCAACAGGAGCAAGATTTTCTCCTTGCCTGGCAACAGTCCAGCCTATGAGAGACTTGTCACAACTCAGCCGAAGAAAGCCACTACACTTTGAAATCCCAGATTACTGTACTGGACTTTATGTTTGTAGCAGCGCCTTGCAACTCCCCCCTTTCCTCTCCAAAAGGGCATTCCTTTCCTTTGTTCTCTGGACTTGCCTATAGTTTTACTATAGCTTGCATGTTTCAAATTATAATGATTTTCTATTCCTAAATAAACTCATTTTTGGTGGTAAAATTACTGACCTTTTTTTTTTGTAAAGTTAATATTACCTCTGGATTTGCAGCCTGTCAGAAGTGTGAGTGGCCTGGGGCCCCCTGAAGTGGGGCTGGTGTCTGGACTGGGATGTGCCTTCAGCCTGTGGATGGTTCCAGTGCTTGCTCTCTGTCCCTTGGATTGTGTTTTGGGACAGGAAGGCTAGGGGGACTGGAAGTGGGTACTTCCCTTCCCCCAGGTCGGTCCCGCTGTGATAAGCGCCAGCAGGTGAGGCTTCGGTTAACTAGTTTCTCCTGAGGGCAGGCCTTGTTAAGGACTGAGTGCTCTGGCTGTCTCAGAGTGGTTCCTTTTCCCTTCCTGCAGCCAGAAGCTGGAGGGGATTTTTCTCCAATATTTCTTGTGGACACTGGTTGAACTCCTGAAGGTAAATCTCACAATAGGGTGGGGCTCCCTCTGGCTGGGTCTCCTTGAATTTTTTAACTCAAACTTGTCCACCCTGAGCCTCCTGCCATTGGTCGTCACACTTGAGGTGTTCCTGCCCTGGCACTGTTTCCTCTGGTGGTTTCCGCTTAGGACTCTCTGCTCTGGGAATTTGCACTTCCCTCTGTTTGCCTCTCCAATCCTGGGGGCAGCAGTTTGCCCTGTATCCTCCCCTCTCTCATTGGATCCAAGAGGAATTGTTGCTTTTTCAGTCTGTTCAGCTTTTTACTTGTTAGGAAGTAAATGGCACCTTGCAGTTCTTATGTATGGAACTGGAAAGTGGGTCCATGGTTTCATTTTTATTCAGTCCAAAATACTTGGAGTTTCCCTTATTTCCCATTGGTTATTTAGAAGAGTGTTGTTTAGTTTTCACATAGTTGGGGGTTTTCCAGGTATCTTTCTGTTAATTGGTAGCCTAAGAATATACCTTGCATCATTTGAATTATTTTAAGTTTATCGAGCTTTGTTTTATGACTCAGAATATGATCTCGTTGGGAAAATATTACATGTGTATTTGAAAAGGATGTATATGCTGCTACTGTTGGGCAGTGTTCCATAATGTCAGTTGACAGAGCTGTGCAAGGCTTTTTAGACCCTTACTGCTGTATGTCTCCTTGTACCAGTTACTGTACAATTTACTGTGGATGTTTCTATTTGTCCATAAAGTTCTATCAGTCTTCATTCTATGTAACTTGAAGCTCTCTTATTAAATGATAAGTATTTAGGGTTTTTATGTCCCTTTGTCATTACCAAGTGGCCCTTTTTATCCTTGCTAATATTCTGTGCACTGAAAACTACTTTTGTCTGATTAATAGAGACATTCTAGCTTTCTTTTGATTAATATTAGCATGACGTATCTTTTTCTCCATCTTTTTGCTTTTAACCTGTGGCATATTTAAAGTGTCATTCTTACAGATGGCATGTATTTGGGTCTTGCTTTTTTTTTGAAGTCTGACAGTCTCTGTGTTTAATTGGTGTGTTTAGACCATTTACGTTTATGTAACTAAGCACGTACAATGGGAAATAAGGCTGGGGTCATCTTAGAAAAAAATCTGTCATAATTGTCTCAGTCTTTTATTCTCCTTGAACACTTACATACTGGGCTCCAGTTGGTCAGCATCTGTGTCAATTTACTGTTGTTTTGAGAAATAACTGTTGTTCCCCTCTTGAGGAGAAGGAAATGTTTATGTATATATATTATATATATATATATAATTTTTCAGTTTGCAATTTTACATTCATCTTTGTCTATGTAAAATGTTCACACACAAAAAATAAATAGCATTTGACCTTCAATACCAATACCCTTTAATAATATCAGATTATTAATCACCCTTTGATGTTATAGTGACTACCAGATGCAGTAACCCTTGAAGTGACACAGAGTAGTGTCACCTGTGTAGAGGGAACTAAATTCTTAAAATTCCAAACCAAATCAATGCTTTAAAAGAAACTACCTCTTTTTTAAAAAGCTCAGAAACATATTCCAACTTTGTAAAGCACTCCTTGCTTATCTATAAAAAAGGACACCTCTTTATGAAAAACTGAGCAAAAAACTTAGCAAAAAAACTGAATGCAGTCTGTGTTGTCTTTCCTTTTTAGAAAGTTTTTTTAAAAAAAATACAGATCTAAACTTACTAATGATGTAGGCAGTGCCAACTCTCTTGAGTCAGAAATAGATGCCAGGCAATGTAATCTTAAAAAAAAATTGTGAAATATAAACAAAACAGCTTCTGCATTTATTTCCCTGTTGTAAGGTTGCTATCTGTACTGCTCTGAGCTGACCTTTGCTCTCTGATTGGTAGCCCCACCTGATTGGAAGGGTGGTTTCTGCTTTCTCTTCTATTCCTTGGTGACTCAATGATATTCTACTCCTTCTGTCTGTTTATATGCCTCAGGATTTCCTCAGCACATTTGAACAATAACACACTGACCTTTCATTTGTCACTTCAGGAAACAGCTGGTTGCTAGAAACTAAGCACAGCAATCTTTACTGTGTGGAAAAGGAGAGAACACTGCAAATGAGAATGCCCAGCCTTCTGGCGACCACGAGCTGGACATGGGTGCCAGGACTCCAGCCCAGTTACCACTTGGGCAGTTTTCATCTTGCCCCTTTGCATTAGGCGGCTCCTCTGCCCTGTGGTGCCGGTGACACCCTGGTATTCCCTAACAAAGCAGCGCTCTTTAACGGGACCCTCACCGACTTGCTACCACTGTGGTAGCCCCAGGGCCTGCCTCCCAGGTCTTGGGCCATCTTGTATTACTCTGTTGAGGAGCTGTTCCTCCACAAACCTTGTCCCACCCCTTCTCTCCCAGGTAAGTGGCTCACCGTGGTCCTGCCTGGAACTCCGGCCCCCCGACCCCCTCCATACAGTGCTCTGTTGCCAGGCTGGCCTCATGGAGGGGTGACTTACTCATCTAGTGAATGAGTACCTGCTGTGGGTCCGGTTTTGTTCTCAGTGCTGGGGATACAGCAGTGAAAGCTCTGAACCCAAATCCCTGCCTCTGTGGAGCCTGTGTTCTAGTAAAGCGAACAGACAACAAGAACACTGCTCCTGCAAATGTACTGCAAAGCAAGGTTAGGGCATAGTGCGAGCTGGTCTGGTAAGGGTGTTTAGGGAAGACCCCTCTCGTGAGGTGACATTTGATCAGCGTCCAGAATGAAGTGAGGGAGAGAGTCAGACCCTGCAGAGCTCCGGAAGATAAGCAAAGGCCCGGAGGAACGTCTGGTGTTTGGAGGACACTGTGGCATGGTTTTGGATTTTATTCCGAGTATGAGGTGATGTGAGGAAGGCCACACTTTCCTCTAGTCCTCCTCTCTCTCTTTTAGAAAGTGAGTCTTATTAGGGCAGGAGCTTCGTCTCTTCTTTACCGCTATTTCCCAAATACACAGAAAAATACCTGGGACATAGATGCACAGATATGTTTACTGAATGTGTGAATGCATCGTGAGCGTAAACCTCACTGTGCATAAGAGACTCTGCTGTATGTTTGGGTCAGCCTGAGAAATTTATAACAGAGGAATCTAAAGAGTAAAATCTAAAACCCAAGGCTAAACATGACTATTCCTAGAATCCTACAAAAAAAGAAAAAAGCAAGTTAAATCCTTCACAAGGGCCCCCTTGAAGCACTAGATCTTAGCCTATCTTTTCTGTCCTGGGTCTGTCCTCTGATGTTTCTGCAAAGAGAGAGCCCTTCAATGTTGCACAGAGAAAATCTCCATCTCCTATAGGAATTCCTCACCATCTCCCCCCAGGGATTGATTTTTGCCCTGGGGTTTAGTTTCTTCCATTTCTCCCTATAGGGCAATTCAGAGGACACAACATTCTTAGGAACAAATTCCCTAGCCTCCAGGTGTTTAGCTGGGATGATTCTCAGACTTTAGAGACATTTAAATCTCCTGGAGGACTTGATAAAACCGATTTCTGGACACCCCTTCACCGGCCTGCCAAGATTCTGATTCAGTAGGTCTAGGGTGGGGCTTGAGAATGTCTGTTTCTAGCAACTTCTGAGGTGTTGCTCTACTGCTGATGTGGGGTCTGCATTTTGAGAATCACTAGTCCAAAAGAGCACCTCAAAGGGCATCAGCAAATACACGCACCGGGGCTCTTGTGGGTGTCTGGTCCCCTTTGAGGTCGGCTCCCGCGTGAAGGGAAGGGAACCTGCTCTTCGGCGATCCGTGCCGCGGAAGCGCCCCTCGCATGTGGATTTTTCCATGTGGTTGGCTTGGTGATTCTTCGCTTCCCTTTTCCCTTCCTGGCTGGTTGATATTTCATTCGCTGTGGATTCTACTTGTCTGCTGTTCCCGAAAAGCAGCTCCCTCCAGGGTCCAGGGGCCGCACTTCTCACCCTAGCGTTCTGCCCGCTGGGAATCCACCCCTTTTCTACTGCCTCTTCTCCTCCTCCTAGCTGACATTTACCTCCACGGACTTGAGCCTCTGTTCCTGGTAATGTACCAGGCTTTACATCAACATTCAGGAGGCTGCTTTTGGTGGCAATAAATAGAAAACCCAGCTTCATACAATCTCATCTCACATACCCGTCGCCCCACGGCCGGGCGGTTCTGGGGCCGGTCGCCTCGCTGCGGCACCTTGCCTTCAGTGGGTGTCTTCCTCCCCTCCGCAGGCCGTCCTTGGCCCTTGGGCTCTGCTGAGGTCTGCGTACCTCCTGGGGGAGACGGCTACAGCGCTTGGAGGTGTCCCATGTGGTTGTCCCAGAAGGTGGTGTTTTCCTTCTGCATCTCATTTTTAAGAGTTTAGGCAGCCTGTTCTGGAGGCACCCCAGCCCGTCCCCACTGTACGTCTTATTGCTAGAAGTGGGTCACAGGTTCCCCTCCAACTGCCAAGAGAATGGGATTACCAAGTGGTTAGTTACCCCTGAGTTGGGGTGGGGTCACTCTTGTTGGCCTTTGGAGGTATGGGAAGAAGGCAAAGGGTGCTGGGTGGTAAATCAGCCTCCTGTGTACAGATTCTGGTTACCTGCTGCTTAACAACACCAAAACTTGGGGATGACAGCACGTTACTCCGCACCCGACTCCGCAGTTTGTGTAAGGTTCGGCTGGGAGAGCTCGTTTCTGCTCCGCTCGGCGTCTGCCGAGGTGGCCTGATGGCCGGTATGGCCGGGAATGTGGGCTGGAGCCCGGCCACTTAGAAACTTGCTTTCCTCGCGGCCAGTAGATTTTCTGTGGGCAAGGCTGAAGGAAGGGTGGTTCCAAGGGCAAGTGTCCCACCAAGACCAGGTGGGAGCCTGTCAGCTTTTATGCCTGAGCCTCCAAAGGCCTTTGACATCCCACTGCATTCGCTCCCCTGGAAGCAGACCACTAAGGCCAGCCCACATAAATGGAACCAGACTCCATTGCTTGATGGGAGGAGTGACAAGGCGTTTGTAGACCACATTATGTCTCATCTTATTAAATCCCCCAAGCAGCCCTGTGAGGTAGGTTCTATCCTCCACTTCTTACAGACTAGGAAACAGGCTCGAGAGATCATGCTAGGATCTTGAAAACATTACATTCAACAAAATGAGTCAGACACAAAAGGACAAATATGGTATGATTCTGCACACACGAGTTACCTAGAATAAAGACAGAAAGCAGAACAGTGCCCACCCTGGGGGTGGAAGAAGTGAGGAATGGGGAGTTCTTGTTTCATGGGTACAGTTTCTGTTTAGGATGAAGAAAAAGTTCTGGAAGTGGATAGTGGTGATGGTCATACAACATTGTGAATGTACTTACTGCCACTGGATTGCACATTTAAAAGTGGTTAAAATGGCAAATTTTTATGTGTATTTGACCAATGAAAGTGGGCACACACACACACGTTCTGGCAGATTGTATTTTTCAAAAATGGCCACAGCCCTCTTTCTAGTCCCACGTGCTCTTCCAGAACCTTGCCACACTCTAGTAAGGGGCAGAGTCTATTTCTCCTGTTGAGCCTAGACAGAGCTGTGTCATGGCCGTGGGGAGTAGAATATGGTGTGCCCCTGCGAGACTTCTGAGGCAAGGCCACATGGGAGAGAGGGCTTCTGCTCGGCTCTCCCTCTGGGAATGCTCTCCTGGGAGCTGGGATACTACGAGTGAGGAGCTGGCTGGAGTCTCGGCTGACAGCCAGCTTCAGCTGCCTGACAGGAGAAGGAGTGAGCTTTCACTGATTGAGTCCCCATTCTTTGAGCCATCCCACAGACAAGGGGAAGAGACGTACACCGTGGGAGAAATCTGGGAGCCTTGCGCAAGTTGGAGATTCAGGAGCAAAATAAGTGTTATTTTCAGCCATGCAGTTTTCAGGTAATTTTTTACACAGCCAATGGGGCCTGGGACACACATCTAGGAGTGACAGACCAGGACCTGCTGTATGTGTGCAGCACTGAGGGTCTGTTCTTGTGTGTCCACAGCTCTAACCAGCCAGAGGGCTGCTTGGACTCAGCAAAGGCTAAGAACCTCTGACCTAGACAGAAGATGGAATAACTTAGTGAAAAAACAAAGCAGTAACACACCCCGCTGGATTTTGGCGCCACAAGGCTAGATTGGTACCCCAGCTCTGTGAGACGCTGGCATGTCACTGACCTTTCTGAAACACAGTCTGCGCATTTAGAAAACACTACATCTGCTTGGCCTACTCAGGTTGTGAGGAATGAAATACTTTGTATAAAATTGCTTTATGAATGATCAGATGTTCTACAAATACAAGTTGTTATGCCACTGAATTCAAGACCATATGGTTCTGGGTTTTTATGTTCCGCTTTCTGTAATTTCTTACCTGTCTTGAATGAATAGGCTCTAACTGGTCTTCCCTCCTCTCCCTCCTGTGGTTGGGGTGTTTCACTGGTCCGAAGTCCATTGCTGTTAACCTGGGTCATGGCCACAAGCTTTGGTATCAGACACTAAAGGTCGCTGCTCCCTTTATCAAATAAAAACAAACCTCCTGTAACACTTTGGTCGGAGCTTACGTGTTTGTAAGGAACAGAAACTCACTGCGGCTGGGCCCCCTCCTCTCCCAAAGCAAGCATGGTATTTAAAACTGTGTTTCTCAAACTGTCAATGGTGAAGAACCAGGTACTTGTTTTTAATTTTCAATACATCATTATCGATAGTATTATCAAGTAGAGAGAAATGACATGAAAAAGACATACAAAATACAAGCCACATTATATTATGATTAGATTCAGTAGTCCCTGGTTGAAATAGCTATAAAAACTTCTTAACTAAATGTCTGTATTTATTTCCTGGCGGATTATAAGCGAGCAGTTCGTGGGCCAGGCTTTAAGCAGTATGGATTAAAGGATATAAGGACAGTGAAGCCCAGCAGAGAATCTGGTTGGCTGCTGGTCAAGATGGGCCCCTGGTCAGATAAGCCACAAGGGAGGCATGATCCTATGGCATGAACAGAGCCCTTTGGCAGTTTTTGGTTGGGGAACTTCCCCGAGAACAGGGCATGAGATCATCTGGCATGCCATGGGAGCAGGGAGGGGTGCTATTTCACTGGGCTGCCCTGTGAAGGCCGTGCCTCTGCAGCTTCATTTGTTCAAAGACTGCTGAGTGCCCCACAGGCTGGAAACTGTAGGCTGAAAGTAATATCCTGCGGAATAAGTGTCTGATAACACACAGAACATAATCTTCACAAAGATATACACATGCTTGTTAACTGAATGCAGAAGTTTGTTTACAAGATAAAGCTCTCTGACCTTTAGAGCTCAGTGGACCCAGCTTTCTCACAGACTAATTTAGTTTTCTATCTACTCCCACATGAGAAAAATCCTGTTTGTATTAATTAGCCCCAAAACCCCACCAAAAAAATAAATTCTTATAGGTAGTAATACTTTCAGCGCATCAAAATCCTTGAATTCCTTCCATGAGTAATTTATTTTTGTGTGTATATAACCTAAATGTATGAAGGGTCTCTTTTGGAGTTTTCCACAGTCCCCACTACTCCTACCTTCATCAAGTGCCTTGTCCCTCCAAGCATGAGTTTGCAGCACTAGTTGGACATTAACTCCCACTTTTATAAAGGAAACTGTGGTTCAGCAGCGACAAGTAGCACCCAATGTTAAATAGTGGCAGAGGCTGGGTTTTCAACCGAGATATTTCAAATTCTATGCTTTTTCCACCATCCTAACTGAAAGCAAGATTAGTTCACCTCATTTATTTCCATCCATTTAGCTCTACTCTGCATAAACCAGTCTATGAGCATGAGTATGCATGTTTCTTCTGTCATTCAAGTGTGTACACTCTGTGCCCCTACAAAAGCCATGCAATACCAATTTTATATTCTCCTGTCCGTCCAAAAGTATCTGACCCAGAACTTGCCACATAAATTGTTTGTCCTGCTGTAGCACAAGGACCATCTAATGTGAAACTAACTCCAAGCTACTTATTTTTAATTGACATATAGCTGATGTGCATTATACTGGTTTCAGGTGTACAACAGTGACTCAACAGTTCCATTCAATACTAAGTGTTCACCATAATATGTAGTTGCTGCCAACACACAAAGGTGTTATAATATTAATGATGATATTCCGTATCATGTTCATCTCCATTAATAATTTTATATTTGGATGTTGGTATCTCTATCCCTTACACTTGTTTCACCCATCTCCTCCCACCCACCTTTGTTGCAACCACCAGTGTTCTCTGTTCAAGAGGCTATTTCTGTTGTTGTTTTTCAGATTCCACATGTAAGTGAAACCATATGGTATTTGTCTTTGTCCAACTTATTTCACTTAGCATACTAAGTCCATACAAGAGCATACTCCAGGTCCACCCATGTTGTCACAAATGGCAAGATTTCATTCTTTTTTATGGCTGAGTAATATTGAATTACATATATACTACATGTTCTTTATCCATTCATTTCTTGATGGGCACTTGGGTTGCTTCCATATCTTGGTTAGTGTAAATAATGCTGTGATAAACATAGGAGTGCATATGTATTTTTTTAAATTAGTTTTGTTTTCTTCAGGTAAATTCCGGGAAGTGGAATTGCTGGGTTATATGGTATTTCTAATTTTAGATTGAGGAACCTTCCAACTGCTTTCCACAGCGGCTGCACCAATTTACATTCCTACCAACAGTGCAGGAAGGTTCCCTTTTCTCCACATCCTCACCAATACTTGTTTCTTGTCTTGTTGATATTAGCTACTCTGGCTGGTATGAAGTGGCATCTCATTGTGGTTTTGACTTGCATTTCCCTGATTAGTGATGTTGAGCTTCTTTTCATGTCTTTTGGCTGTCTGTATGTCTTTGGAAAAAATGTCTTTTATTTGCTTTTTTGGTGTTGTGTTGTACGAGTTCTTTAAGTATTTTGGATGTTGGCGCCTTATTAAATATATCATTTGGAGATACCGTCTTCCATTCAGTAGGCTGCCTTTTTGTTTTGTTGGTTACCCTTGCTCTGCAGCTTTTTTTGATATAGTCCCACTTGTTCATTTTTGCTTTTGTTTCCCTTGCTTGGGGAGGCATAACAAATGCCAGTGTTCAAGAGTTTACTGCCTGTTTTTTTCTTCTAGGAATCTTACGGCTTCAGGTTGTACATTTTGGTCTTTAATTCACTTTGAGTTTACTTTTGTGTATGGTGTAAGATAGTGATCCAGGTTCATTCTTTTGCATGTAGCTGTCCAGTTTTCCCAGCACTGTTTATTGAAGAGATTCTCTTTTCCCTGTTGTATATTCTTGCCTCCTTCGTCATATATGGACCACATAAGCATGGGTTTATTTCTGGGCTCTCTATTCTGTTTGGTTGATCTATGTGTCTATTTTTTCCCCAGTGCCATACTGGTTTGATTACTGTAGCTTTATGGTATACTCAAAACCAAGGGAGTGTGATACCTCCAGGTTTGTTCTTTATTAAGGTTGCTTTTCAAAGATGTTTATTTTATCTCATTGTTGTGTCAAAAAAGAACATAGGATCATATTTCTTAAGTGCTAAACTTTAAGTTTTATTAAAAAACAAGCAAACATTTTCAACATATCAAATGCTTTAATTCACATTTCTCTGTAGGCACTGACCACAATACATACCCAAAACAACAAAAGTAATTAACACAGGGTAACTGAGTCATGAGTACCCTTCTTTCTTGTTGCTGTCACATACCCTCATGTGGTCAGGGGTGGAGGAGAAAGTGCAAGAGGCCAGTTGGCTACTTCAGTGGTGCCATCACAAGTGCCTACAATGCGGGCTCAGAGCCCCATTCAGTCAGTTCACTTGCAAGTGATCAGGGCCAAGGATTCAGGCTGCTCTAAACCTGTACAAAACAGCATTACAAATCAGAGTGCCAATATATCTGTGTGACTCATTTAAGCAGATCAAACTAGAGTGATGAGAACAGATATCATGAGCCGTTGTCATCTAACTACACATAGTGCCCTTCTGTACTCTGGGAACTTGCTCATAGATAGTCCAAACTCCTCATCCAATTAGAATGTCCTCTTGCCTGGATAGTATTAGAGGTACAAGAAAAGCAACCTAGTTTTCTAACTCTCCCTTTTTAACCTTTCATGTCAATCACCAAAAATTACCATATGATAGAAATATCCTATAGTTTATCTTCTGTTAAGTGCATTTTGCTTTGACACTTCCCTTAAAGGTGAGGTAGCCCAGGACATCCTTGTAGAGATGGAGTGTCCTAGGTCTAATATCAGCAAGAGCTTCCATATGACTTATTTTTTTCAGACACTTCTGCAGATGACTAAATTGAATACTTTCATTTAAGTCCTGTCAAGTTCTGTGTTAAAGGGTGGCATTCTCTGATTCTTTCTCCAGAACCCTGGAATGTACATGAGACCTGCAAGCTTCATGCAGACTACACAGTTGGGGTCATGGGGGTAAAATATGTGTGTGTGTTTGTGTGTGTATTTACTTATGCAACTAGAGTTAATCAGATACAGACACTATTTCTATGCTAAAATTAGAAACATGAGAAACAGAGGTACATCAGTGCTTTATTATGCAATAAAATACCTTTAAAAGTTGTGAAATAGCCAAGTGCCCATATTCCAAATAGCGACAACTGAGACCTCCAAATTATTTCACCAAAAAACATCAGGTTCTGAATATGTAAAAATCAGCAGAAAATTAACCAGGTGACATTTGTTAGAGTAGTGGCCTCTAAATCCTTAATAAAAATAGTGGAATCTTTTTTTTTTTAAGAGGAAGTGGTTTATCTACTGCAATCTTATCTGAAGCAGCACACCAGGGTGGGGGTGGGGCACTGACTGAAGAGAAAGCAGGCGCCCTGACAGGGTCCCCACCCCTGGCCCTGAAGCACTGCTTGTTCTCAAAACTCCATGGGTTACTGTCCAAAACCTACAGTTCCATGTAAGAATCTGAGGCTACTAATTTTTATGGAAGAGTTTAGACAGACACATCAGTTTGGATAGGATATGAGCAAGTCTTCATAGAGGTCCTTTACCAGAATGGTTTTGGAGGAAGAAAGCAGTTAGTGAAGGACAATTTTAAGAACATCCAGTTAATTCAATTTTTCTGCATGGTATCTATCTGGCAAAATCCCTGGTGAACACATGAGGTGCAGAACAGTAGCTTTAAAATTTCAGTGTGCATCAGAAGCGCCTGACGTACTTGTTAATAAAACCAGAGATGTCCATGTCCCACTTCCAGAGACATTGATTCACGAAGCCAAGGGCTGGGCTTAGGCGTCCATAATGGCAACCAGCTCCCTAGGTGACTGCGGTGCTGCAGACAGCGTGCAGGTCACGCTCTAAGAAACAGGACACAGGCCTTAAAGGGAAAATTTGAGACAGGCAGGAGCATACTTTTTAAAAGTATCTCTCCTATCGTGTTGCTGAAAACACACCTTCATTCAGATTGGGGTAGAGTAACACCATTATTATTATTTTTTTAAATTTCTAGATTAAAAAAAAAAAATCTACCTACATACCACATTCCATATCCAAATTAGGTAGAATTGAAAAAAAATTCTGAATATGAAATGCTGGTTCTCGCTTCACTGTTACCATTCTGAGGGAAAACCACACAAAATTATTACCCATTCTACTGACCTTTTTGGCCAGGTAAGTACAGATTATGTATTCGGATCCACATGAATCTAAATTAATGTAACCTTCAAAGTTTTCTAGTTAGTGCAAATTTAAAATTCCATAGTATACAGCAAATACAATTTTACTTTATATTAAAAATGCAAACTATTTTTCTTCTGACGTGCTGGTAGTAGTCATTTTTACAATGCAAACAGGACTTTACAACTTCTGCATCACAGTATATTTTACAACTCTAAGTAGGCAAACATTTCAAAAAACAAATACTACACATCTGACACACCCTAAAAAAATAAAAATAAATAATTTTGACTATAAAATTTTATAAACATTAGTTACATTAGTGGTTCACAGATAATTGTAGCAGAAAACCTAAAACGCATTTGAGATCATGTAATCTCACCATTAGACAACCTATATTTTAAAACACAAGTCAGTTTGAATTCTTTTAACTGTAACAAAGCACTGAAAATGATCACCATTTACTTATGGATCCATAAGAGCTGCCAGGAAGCCAGTATGTAAGCTACTAAATTTATGAGGAGTTAGGAATGTATTAGGACAGTAGAAGATGAGAGAAGTCTGAAAACAGACAGGAGAGATGCTTTACTTCATATATTCCTTCCTGAGAATGTAGAAGTTATTATTATTTTCAAATCAAGACAGTTTAATATGGAACAGGAAAATCCTGTGGCAAATTATTCTTTCAAAGTGTAGAATCCCTTGTAACGTAAACAACTCCTACAATATATTACTTGCAAACACGTGTCTTGTAAATTATACTTTAAAGCAAGGCACATGCCTATACACTTATTGGAAATGCTGGGTACATGTGCCTAAGAAGTGAATTTTACTAAAATAAGATGTTTTATGATATAGTATTCTGAAATAACTTACCTAAATAAAACTAAGTCTGAATGAGAGAATGAGGCAACAGAAAAACTTGATGAAGGATCAATAAAGAAAAAGACCTTACTGGATTATGGAAATTAAAAAACCAACTTGTTTAAATAAATGAGGATATTGTACATAAACCTATTCTAAATCCAATGTAATGTTGTGGTTAAGACTACAGTGTTAATAAAAACTATATAGTTATTTTGATTAATTCTGATACTCCAAATTAACTATTTACTTTGATTCTACAATTAGCACTATGAATTACAGAAAAATATAGCCTGAAGCAAAGTGCATTTAACCGTATATTTATAAAATGTGGTATCTGAAACAGTTTTGACCATGAATTAAAGAATAAAACTCATTATACTCAAAACATGATCAGCCCATAAAAGAAACTTGACGGCAGTCTCCCACCACTCCAGGTGACCTACCCTGAAAGGTGTGTGAATAAGGTGAAAACAGATCTGCTCACAAGATCTTTCAATACTAGAATTTAGCATCTCCAGCTGAGATCTGGAAGAGGGTAAGTAAAATTAAAAATATTTTCTAAGAAGTACTGACTAACTGTATATGCTACTAAGCTGTTCCTTCAAAATATGGCCTGGTCCTGAAGGTGAGTGAAATTTAAGTTTATGGCAATTCATGAATGACAGTCAACAAAGATCCTTAAGGAGCTAATGGTGTTTTGGGAGCTATGTTCTAGCCTTTCAGAGATTAATGTCATGAAAGACCACCAAGTCCACAAACATGCCATTTGTTGGAAAAACATCGGGCTGGAGGCCTCAGGCATCCGCCTAACTGCAAGACCCAAGGAGAAAGCCTAATTAACAGAAGAGCGCCCTCTAACGGGTCACCAGGAGACTAGCCCTTCAGTAAGTTGTTGGCAATTGAGGGTCAAATAAAACAGGGAAACAAAACTTTCAGTAGGTTGCCAGTGCTTTCATTCCCCACCTCCCCTACTTTAAAAATATTGAGGAATCTTTATGAAGACTATCTGGATAATATATTTATCAGAATTAAATTACAGGTTTTAATTACTCAGTCAATAAACTACATTTCTGATTGTGACTAGCACAATTTGTGATCAATTTAACTTAATAAAGCCATAATTGTAAACACTAAACACAGGTATACCACAATGAAGAAAATAAATAAGTAAAAAAAATATATCTCATTTTAAAGTAAATATGATAATAACACTTTAGCAGAGGGTTCTGTCCACTTCCCGAAGGGAAATTCGGTCAAGTACTTTGGATATTTTTGACTACCATACTTCAAAATACTGTTAAGACCACTGAATTTTTAAAACTCATCATTGCACTTTTTTTGAGCAATTAATCTGAATAGTTAAATTTTCTTTAGTACATTTTTTTCAATTGTTTTTAACTGAAAGTGAAGCTGGGTGAACTGTCTAGCTCAGAACCCATAACTTTGAATCCAAAGTGCTCTGAATGCTAATTTTTATCAATTAACCTATGTGGTTCTCTTTTGGCTATACTGGGTTATAAACAAGATATTGAATTTCAGCTCAACATGGTCATTAATAGGATTAGTAAACATCATTCAGGGGTCTGAGAATGCTCCTAAAAGAAAAATTATCCTGACAGTTTTAAGTATTGTCTTTCTTTTACATTTCTCCTTTCAGTTTCCCAGAAATAGGTATGTATGGATCCGCTTGGTGCTAGGCTGTAGGAAATCTTAAGAGGCATGCTGCTGAAGGATGCCCAGCATTAACCATGTGGGTTTGACATTCACCATCTCCTTTCAAGTTAACTTTTAAAATGTTGCGGCATCAACATATTAAAAATTAAGATAGAAATGATTTTCCTCCCACAACTTGTTGGATGTATAATGTATCCATCAAATGTACGTGGTTCAAGAATAAGGAATGAGAGTGCATACTTCACAGTGAGTCAGTCCCACTCTCAAACATAAAGCCATGAAAAACATTTCATCTTCATGTATGTTTTGTAATTTTTTTTAAGTTAGTACTATACGATCAAAGTGTTTTGCTGAAAAAAGAACAGGCATTTGTAAACAACTGGAAGTTTCACTGTTTTTGGAATGTTATTTACATATATGTATATCCATTATACTTCTAGTGAAATTAAGACTAAATAGTTGATAGAGAATGTCTGCCTTTGGAGGAATGATGTATCTACCTGTTTGTGAGGATTCTATACTACATTTTTCACTCCCTCATCCATTTATTCGGTTTCCTTTATGTCCTCTTGATCTGAAGTACTAGAGATATCATCATCTGTTTGTTCTCCAGAGAAATACAACATCAGTGCATGTGTCTTGTGAGTCACGGTGACAGTGCAGGGCCCTTGGGCCCACGGCTCCCCATCTACCTGCATTGGCATCATCGAGCACTTCAAAATCAGCTGGATTAGGGAACAAATAAATAGAAAAACATCAGTTCCCAAAAAGCTCAGACAGGTCTTCCTTAATAATGATCTATATCATCCAAAGTCCCTTAATCTTTCTTTTAAGGACATTTCTTACCATTTCATTCTTAGAAATTAATTTGAATATATCTTTATTCATTGATTGTTTAAGGGATTCTTTTCCATTGAATGCTTTATTTCTTCAACTGGACTGAGGGCCACATTTCCTTTCTTCCCCATCCCACTCCAGAGCAGGGGCTGTAAACCACTGCTTAAGGAAAGCTGTGGCATGCATATTTTCTTCTACATATCAGTGGCTTACAAAGGAACTGGGACAAATTAGCCTGCTATAGCACTTTCACTTACCCGCACTGTATGTGCTTGACCTATTCGAAAAGGATTTGCCAGTTTCACCTGAATCTGAGCACAGTGGAAAGACCCGTATACTCCAACGACTTCTAGTAAGCCATCATCATGCCTAAAGTTGTAAAAAGAACATATGGATTATGCAGTAAAATAAAATCAGCTACCTTAGACCAAACAGTTACTTTTTAATATAGTTGGAACATCAACTTATTAAGTATTAATACAGTTTACATAAAGGAAAATTCGAGGGAAAAACATAAAAGATTTATAAGAACAGCAGGCTTCTTTAAACAAAACAGTGACATAAACAGACTGAAAATGTACATACCTGGCTAGAGGGTAAGTCTCATCTCCCATCCCTTCCCATAGCCTGCAGCCACCGCCCCAGTAGCCAATGTTCAGAACTATAATACCTTCCAAATTAGGCAGCTCTACTCGCTCACCATCCAGTTCTAGCTTTAAAGAAATACAGGTAGTTAGTTACTACAGGGCACACTATTCCCAGACAGAGCACTTAGAATTCACATCATTTTCATATAAGGATGTGCATGCAAGAGAAGACTACTTCCTGCCCCTCCGGTAATCTGGCCTTTCCCAGCTGTTCAATGTTTAATCTAATAAAGGAATTAAGACAATGTGTTTTACCAAGGTCATCAATGATGTTCTTTCTGTTAAATCCCACTATTTTTTTCAAGCCTTACCTGACTTGCGGTTTCACTAGTACCTGACATTGCTGACCCCCCTCCTCTTTTCCTGAAATATTCTTTTCCTTCACTTTCTGGGAAGCAGACTCTCTTCCCTGGATGTCCCTCCTCAGTCACTGTTAAGAACTTCACTTTCTGCCTCCTGTCGATGGCTTTCCTCATTGCTGTGTACCAGGCTCCTTTCTCTTCTGCTACAGACTCTGGGGGAAAACCTTAACCACTTCTACATTGTCAACTTCCATCTCTGCTCACAGCTCTATCTTGCTGGTCCAGGAGAATGAAATGGACCAGATCTGTATATCCTGCTGCCCCTAAAACAGTCCACAAACTAGCACCTAGAACACCTGTGTACAAAAGTGAGTTATGCATCCTCTGCAAGCCCCCTACAATGTCCTTCTGGAAAAGAGTGGCATATCCTCCATAGCTGCAGAGAAAAGGTGCACGGCATGGGTTTTGCTAGCAGGGACTAAGGAGAAAGGACTTGGTGTGCATGGGTGCTGTGGCTGGAGGGAACAGACGGGGCCATGTCTTGCTAGCATGTTGTGAGCAGTAAAAACAGTTTCTCTCAATCCGCCCTTTTCCTTGCCTTACTTCAGTTTCACCGGATTCATAAGGAAATCTGCTCCAGGAGGGGAAACCCCTGAATCCCAGAGCTACACCTCTCCACTGGCCTAAGCCAGGAACCTGGGAGTCATCTTTGACTTCTGCACCTTTATCCTCCACATCCAATTAATCCCTAAACACAAGTGACACCGCTTCTAAGCATCTCTCTCTCCACCACTCCTGACAGTACCTAGTCCATCACACCATATTCTCTTCCCTAATCGGGTCTCTCTCTGGCTTACTCATCTGACAGCAGCTGGACTGACAGTTCTAAATGCAAACATGTCATCCCCTAATTATAACGTTCAAGGGCTTGATTCAGCGCTCAGGATGAAATCCAAGTTCTTTACCAGGCCAATATGGCCCCTCTGGGACTTGGCCTCTGTCCCAACTCAGCAGCCTCAGCTCTTGCCAATTCCTTCCTACAAGCTATGTCCCAGCTTGAACTGTTTCAAATGTGCCATCGCTCTTGCCTCTGGGCAACTGCAGATGCTGTTCTTATCTCAGAACAGGTCTCACCTCTTTCTTCACTTGGCTAACCCCTACTATTTTCAGATTCCAGGTTTACTTCTTTCCTAAGCAGCTTTTCCAGCCCCTGGGCTATATATATGGCTCTTACTTGTTCTTATAAGGCGCATACTTTGCTTACCACATCACCTCTCATGTACTGCAGTGTGGTTTAAATGCTTTTCTCTCTAGACCATACACTTGGTGAGAGTGAGGATTTACCACTGTATCCCCAGCACCTAGGACACTGGACAGTGCCTGGCATTTTGTAAGTGACTTCACAAATAATTTTTGTATAAATTATCAGACTAAAAAAAAAAGTGTTACCCTGTAAGCCCAGGGAACTTGTTTTATGGAAAATCTTGTCATGCCTCCCAGGCTGCTATGAGGGCCGGGAGGCAAGCATTCGGCACACTGCAGCAGCTTCCCTTGGCTTATGTGCAGTCAGGCTCCTCAGTGCCTGCTCATTTTTTTCACTCTTCCTAAGCTGTTTACTTAGTTTACTAGTTCTAGGTTTCTCAGTATGAAAACCTTTGTCATTGCTATTAACCAATAAGATTCTTTCTGGAAGCAAGCAAGGAATATATACAAGATTTTGCAATATTAAGTAGTAATAAGGAATCACTAATATCCTCTTTTTATTGCTCATATATTTTTATCTTGCATTAATATATGAGAACTATCACAACCATAATATGAATTAAACCTTGGGTTTAAACTTCCTCTGAGAGTCAGTGATGAATCAGGTGCTGCATTAGATAATGTCACATTTGTTTTTATGATGTATGAACAGAAGCTCTTTGGCATAAGAGTTAAACAGACTCTAAAGTTAGATAAACCTGGGGTTCACATCCTGATTACATGTATATTTGTCACTTGGAAATATTACTTAATTTAAAACAGTTTTCTCTTCTGCATAATAGGAAGGTAATAGTAACTGCCGTATAGGATTATGGTAAGAATTCAGTGGGATAATGTGTATAAAGCACTTAGTAAAGGGCCTGGCATAAATACTCCACATATGTTAGCAAAACATGTTAATAAGAAATGCAGCATTTTTGTTAAAAAAAAAGTAGTTGATAATCCTGAGATTACCTAAAAATTTAAAAGCTTACCTCAACTTTTTTATTCAAATCTTTACATTCTTGGACTAAACAATCTTTGGTTCCATAGAATAAGTAAACAGCCTGTGAGAAAGGGACAGAGAATGTGATATTAAAGCAATCTAGCAGGCTCTGTAAGCAAGAAGACACTACCAAGGTCCGTGATGCAGCTGCTGGGACATGTTTCCTCAGAGTGGACTAAGTCCTGGAGGGGGAAAAGCACGTCATGACACTGGAGTTTAACTAGCCTGTTTTTCAGGGGAAACGCAGGGTAGGAGTGGTTTGTGCCTAAAAGGGGTTTTCCCCCATTTTACCCAAAAAGCTACATTTTATTAAAAAATACTATATTAAAATTAGAAAATTCTACCTTTTCCTAGTACTTGAGATTACTTAATGAAAGAAATACAGATCCAGCAAACATTTTATAATCACTTTGGAATACAGAAAGGTTGATGGAAGCACTGATATGTTAGTTACTAATCGCACAAACAGCAATACTTATTGCTTTGTTAACTATATTAATAAAAAGGAAGTATTTATAAATTTGAAATACAGTCGCCCCTTTAACAACATGAGGATTTAGAGGTGCCAACTTGTGCAGTTGAAAATGTGCACGTAACTTCTGACTCCCCAAAAACTTAACTATTAATTGCCTATTGTTGACTGGAAGTCTTACCAATAACATAAAGAGTCGGTTAATACATATTTTGTATGTTATATGTATGATGTGCTATATTCATAGAATAAAGTAAGCTAGAGAAAACAATTTTAAAAATGTTGTACATCTCCAAAAAAATTTCCAATATATTAATTGAAAAAAATCTGCATTATAAAAGTGGACCTGTACATTTCAAATTCTTGTTGTTCAAGGGCCAACTGTTTTGTAAAACAGAACCAGGAAGAAAAATGTTTTGCTTTTTTTTCACATCCTGTTGCTTAATCACCGAACATCATTAAAGGAATCAACTCTACTAGAAACCAGAACAATGACTATAGTTAAAAGCTCTCGTAAACGAACTGCCCCTTTTGCTTACCTCATCTTCCTTGTGGTGTTTTTTTCCAGCCAGTGGCATCTGTTTTTCCATTAATCACTTCACTAAAAATTTAACATGCCTCAAATTTCTTTCCAACTTTAATTGCCATTTAAGTTATTAGACAAACTATCATATATTCCACTTATTTATTCCACATGAACAAAATATGCTGTAAAACATATTAAGTTTAAAAAATCTTTTACAGTTATAAAATACTTTAATCAAATACATTTAAGGATCTAATTTAACAGTTTTAACGCCAAGCAGAACAGGGAAATATTTCCCTTAGTTCTATCTGAATCTACTTGAAAGAGTGCTAGATATAATTGAACTCTTGATTGTTACTGTACCTTCTATGATAAGCAGGAAATGATATTTTATCCAACACACCTTATTAAGAATTCTGCTAGAAAACAGAGATGGTGCCTTCTCACGATGAGCATGGAAATTGAGAGCCATGAGTGCATCAGGTCCAATAGAAAAGTAGTTGTTCATTGTGAATTCCTGTGAAAAAGGGTAAGAATAAGCAATAGATTATGCTTCAGTGCAAGCTTGTGTCATATACTTGGATCAAATCTTACTCTCAATGTTCTTTATGAAAATCTAATATATTCTGCATTTACTTTTCACATGGAGCTATTCTGGGCTACCCAGGGAAGATTCTCAAAATAAAGCTACAGTTCAAAGGCTGGTAACTAGATATGAATTTCACTTTCCGTTTCTGTTTAACATGCTGCACCTCAGATCTTATCATCTAGAATGGCTCTACTGTGCACCCAGGCCTCCCACTCCCGTGTTCCCATTACTTCTGCTGTTGACTTTCACTGCAACTCTCAGGCTCTCAGCTTCTGTCAGTCTCAATCCAGGCTATTGGCACCCCCTTAAATTATCTTATTTCTCAGCCCAGCCTGGATTCCTCAATTTACACCTCTAGCTTTGTCTTGTTCCTGAGCAATAAGCCTGAATTTCCAACTTCTTGTGCAATAGCCACAGCCTCAAAGTTGCTATGCCCCAAATCTAACTCATTTTCCCCTTACTCAAACCTGAAGCAATTTTTCTTATCCTGGTTAATTTTACTTCTATACATCCAGTCATAAAAACTAGAAATCTGGGAGTAATATGTATTTTCTTTTCCCTAATACCAATCAGCTGCCAGGTCTTGATCAGTTCTACCCCCTACATATCTCGAGTTTGTCCTTATCCTAAGATACACCTAGTTTTGCCCTAGTGCAGGTATCTAAGCTATTTTCACACAATCTCCAGAGCATCTTTTTTAGAATACAGATCTGCTATCTCTGTATTATTTGCTCTTGGCTAACCTTCATTTGCACTCTCTAGTCTCTGTTTCTTCCACCTGTAAAGTCTTTTGTCCTTTTCTCTGTTGATCTAAACTGTATTTACCTTTCAAGGAGCACATCACATTTCACTTCCCCTGAAATTTTCCCAGCCTGGTCTGCCAGGGAGGCACTAAGCACACTGCAGCCTGTTCTGCCCCACAGCACTTTTTACAGTCCAACCTGGGAGCTGAGCACAGGGGTTTCTCTTCTGCTCCATAACCACTCATGAGGGAGAAGCACCATGTCTCTGTATCCCACCAAAGTGCCTTATCTTGTACAACGGGGCCCCACATCATGTTTGCTGAAACTACTTGCAACTCAAGCCTTAACACACCTTGGGTTTTCTTAAGTTGTAGTATCCTTTATTTGTTACTTGAACTTTCCATCTGAAAAAAAAGTTTAAAAAAAACCAGTAATTATTACCAAATGAGCTCCAGTTACTTGAACTTTCCATCTGAAAAAAAAGTTTAAAAAAAAACAGTAATTATTACCAAATGAGCTCCAGTTAACTATAATTATTACTGATCAGCTCTGGATGCCTAGAAGATGCGGTTCTTTTATTAAAACAGCGCTTGAAAAAATAAGCACACTTAAGTGAGTTTAAGTGAGTATGCAAATTCTAAGTACTCAGCTTAACTTACGACTTCAGTTCTTATATGGCAAAAGAAAACACCAGCATCTATGTATAAATGCAACTAACACAGTCTTTTACCTTTAAATTACATTTAGCTTTATAACTACGTAAGCCTGCATTTATAAGCCACACAATATTATCAAAGCTCAAGAAATCCACTTTTGGGGGCAAGTATAACTTACCTATCTAGTTTAATTCCATCTGCTTCCATCACATTTCTTAAGACTTGTGCGACTGGTATTTCTCCCGCATAACCTGTGCCCCAACCCAAAGTATTGGAGAGATCGTTGCCTGTTCCCAGAGGCAAGACTGCAACTTGTGGAATGTATTTTTCTTGTCCCTAGAATGTGGAAGGTGTTCAGATTTTTCTCTTCAGACTACTTGTAGGGTAGTAATATTTGGTAAAAGTTAAAAGAACAAAGCAATAAAGATACAGTTATAATAACTGTATGTTGTTTTGCTAAAGGTTATGCTAACTGCTTAATCATAATATTACAAATTGGCAAGGTTTTCTAGTATTCATCTGCATAATAAATAAGTGTAACTAAAAATATTGTAATAATTATCTTAGAAGTGTTTCTGTGAAAGGCAAGTAGCTCTTAAGGACTGATACCTTAATCTTCATTTCATCAACCGCATCCAGGACCCAGCCCACAGTCCCATCCCCTCCACAAACAAGTACTCGGGCTGAGTAATAGGGAAGGAGAGTACAAAGTTGCAGAGCTTTGATAGGGGGAGTTTTAGTTACATCAAAAACCTAGAAAAGAAAGAAAAGGAAAAGTTATCTTTATCTAACTATTTGTGAGGATGATTTCCCTCTAGATGAGTACAGATATGGTTAAATAACAATACTGACTGTGATGCACTTACCTGTAACGATATGCCAAGCCCCATGCCAGTCTTTATATTCATATGGCTCATCTCACACTGACCCTACAAAGCATGAGTAAACCTCTTTCTACTGACCAGGAAATTGGTGCAGAGAAAAACTAAAGAACTTGCCTACATTACCTCCAATACTTAGGTGCTGACATACAAATTCAGTCTTGTAGTCTATCTATTATTCAACACTGCCTCCTTCCTGTTCACATGAAAGCAGGATGTGCTAAGCTCACCCTTAACTAGTGACATAAAGATGCAAGAATCCTTAATATTTATAATTATGTAAATGATTTGGGAAAATATTTCAAAGGACAAAAATGCCCTGTGTATAAAGGTATTCAGTGTGGCATTATTTATATTGTACAACCTGAGATAAACTCAACCTCCAACAGCAGAGTAATTATCTTAGTTATGACATGTGTAATTATGAGGACTATGATGCAAAACAGTAAAATATTTTACCTTTAAGGAAAACAGAATGCAAATTTGTACCTGGATTATTGTCACAGTAATATTAATATGCAAATACACAGACAATTCAAGGAAAGAACATGGAAAATGAAAACAACTGATGTATTCATGTGGGGAAATGGCAGGTGATTTTCATTTTCCTTTATTATTTTCATAATTTCCTTAATGTATAATGTTGATAGGGAAAATACAAATTGAAAGAAGTTACTGTGTTTCTGATTGTTGCAGAATGAGGTGTTTCGCTTTTCAAAGCAGAAGCTGCTAGCATGTAAACTCAATCTTAATGGTGTGATCTTTTATTCTTTTTTTAAAGTTTTGATGTGTAATCTGAATATACCGAAATTCACCCATTTAATGTGAACAGTGATTTTTAATAAGTATACTGAGTCATGGAGCCACGACCATAATCCAGTTTAGAAAGCTTTTGTTGCTCCAATGAGATACCTGTGTAGTCACTCTCAACTCCCTGCCCTACTTCATGCAACTTCCAGTCTACTCTTCATTTAGATTTACCTTTTCTGGACTGGTTATATAAATGGAATCATAGAATATGGGTCTCTTGAATCTGGCTTCTCTTAGCATGTATGTGAGGCTCATTCACTGTAGCATGTATGAATCGGCAGTTCCTTTTTCATCACTGAATAATATTTGACTGTCTGGTACACCACATTTTGTTTTACCCACTCAAGGACTGATAGGTAGTTGTGTTGTTTCCTTTTTTTGGCTACAATAAATAATGCTGCTGTGAACTTTTGCATGTAAGTCTTTGTGGGACATTTGTTTTCATTTCCCTTGGGAAGGTTCCTGGAAATGGGATTGCTAGGTAGTATGGTAAATTCATATTTAACTTTTTAAGAAAAGTTATATTTAACTTTGTAAGAAAATTTTTAAAAAGCCAAATTCTTTTCTAAAATGGCTGTGCTATTTTATATCCCTACCATGAGATTTCCTCTTTTGCCACTTATTTGAATGGCTTGATACTTTTATAGTATTTATATTTTCCTATAACCAGCTGATGACTGGTTTAAAGCATTAACAACCATTATAATTTAGGGAAAATGAAAAGCTAAACAAGCAAAGATTAATTCAGAAAGAAAGAAAGGTTTTCTCTTAGTTACCTGGACTGGGTTCAGGAGGATCCTAAATTCTCCCAGCAGTCCTTCCCCCATATTGGTTCCACTACGAGAGTTGGCCAGGATTATTAATGGAGTCCACTGTTTTCCAAGTTCAGAGGTGAGCTGAAAGATAAATGTGAGCGAACAGGATTTAATATCTCAAAGATGGTGAGCAGTACATTTTCAATTGTTGGTAACAACAGTGCTGTAAATTTGCTGAGAGAAAAACAAGTGCCCCAGTATAATCAATACAATATAAAAAATCAAAGAATTCTAAGAATGGAAAGGGACATGAGATATGAATTAATTTAACCTCCACTTAATGTATTCTCTTCTACATTATTTTATCTGAGTCATCCACCATATGCTTGGATGTTCATGTAAGAAGGAACCTACTAACAAGACAGTCCATTTCACTGCTATATCAAGTTATTAGAAAGTTTTGACCTAAATTGAGGTAAAAATCTGTCTTTCAAGAACTGTCATTCATTGTTCCAATTTTGCTTCCTAAAGCAACTAGAAATAATTTCATTTGTCCTTCCATATAACTGTTGTGCTTAAACACCCGAAGCACTGCATCTTTTATTAGTCTTGTCTCCTAGGCAATACATTTCAAGTTCTTTCAACTGTTCATAAAATGGACATTGACTTTCTCTGCTCATACCTTGACTATCCTTTTCTGCATGTATCATAATGCATTTTAATTTGCAAGTTTTTTAATGTGGTACTCAGAAATAGATTCAAGAATCTAGATATATACAAATCCCAAAGTCAGATGAAATTAGTTTTTCTAACCTAATCATTTTTCTTCTCCCCTTCCTCTTGTGGGTGTAACATTAATGAAGATGTTCCATGGTTTTACTTAGTGATTACCATCCCTTGTGATCTCAGATTGAATTCAGATACATAGAAATTGCATGTTTAAAAATATGTATAATAACACTAAACAAAATATTCAGACATTTTAAAATGCTTCTTTCTTTTGTAGGAATATTGACAAAGATGACACTTAAGATATAAAATCCTAACTTAGAAAAGCCACAGTTTAATTTTAAAATAATGGTAAAAAGCTGAAAGCTTTTCCTCTAGGATTAGGAATAAGCCAAGGATGCTCACTCTCACTGCTTTTATTCAACATAGTACTTGAAGTCTTGGTCTTAGCAATCAGAAAAGAAAAAGAAATAAAAAGCATCCAAACTGGTAAGGAAGAAGTAAATCGTTACTATTTTCAGGTGGTATGATACTATGTATAGAAAACCCTAAAGATTCCAGAATTAATAAATGAATTCAGTAAAGGTGCAGGAACAAAATCAATACACAGAAATTTACTGTGTTTCTATAAACAAATAACAAACAGAGAATTTAAGAAATCAATCTCATTTACAATCACATCAAATAGAATAAAATACCTAGGAATAAATTAATTTTATTTCAAGGAGGTGAAAGACCTGTACTCTGAAAACTATAAGATATTGATGAAAGAAACTGAAGACACAAATAAATGGAAAGCTATTCTCTGCTCATGGATAGAAAGACTTAATATTGTTAAAGTGGCCATACTGCCCAAAACAATCTATAGATTCAATACAATCCTTACCAAAATAGCAGTGGTATTTTTTACCTAACTAGAGCAAATAGTCCTAAAACTTGTATGGAGCCAAAAGACCCTAAATAGCTAAAGAAATATTGAGAAAGTAGAACAAGGCTGGATCACGCTCCGCGATGTCAAACTGTACTACAAAGCTACAATAATCAAAACAGTATGGTACTGGCACAAGAACACATACATAAGTCAATGCAACAGAATAGGGAGCCCAGAAATAAACTCATGACTATGTGGTAATTAATATATGACAAAGGAGGCAAGAATGTACAATGGGGAAAAGAATTTCTTCAACATATGGGAAAACTGGAGAGCTATATGCAAAAGAATGAAACTGGATCAATTTCTATAACATACAGAAAAGTAAACTCAAAATGAATTAAGGACCTAAACGTAAGGCATGAAACCATAAAACTCCTAGAAGAGAAGAGAGGCAGTACACTTTAAACATTGGCATTAATAATATTTTTCTGGATATGTCTTCCCAGGTAAAGGAAACAAAAGCAAAAATGAACAAATGGGACAACATCAAACTAAAAAGGACACCATCAATAAAATGAAAAGGCAACTTATTGTATGGAAGACTATATTTACAAATGTTAAATCCTAAAAGGGACTAATATCTAAAATATATAAATAACTCATACAACTCAACACCAACCCCCGCCCCCCACAAATAATCCAATTTAAAAATGGGCAGAGGATACAGATGGCCAAGAAACACATGAAAAGATGTGCAGCATCACTAATCATCAGGGAAATGCAAATCAAAATCATAATGAGTTATCAATTCACACCAGCCAGAGTGGCTAGTATCAACAAAACAAGAAATAACAAGTGTTGACAAGGATGTGGAAAAAAAGGAACCTTCATAACATTGCTGATGAGATTGCAGACTGGTGCACCACTCTGGAAAACAGTATGGTTGTTTCTTAAAAAACTAAAAATAGAAATACCATATGACCCAGCCAGTCTACTTCTGGGGATTTATCTGAAAAAAACAAAACCACTAATTCAAAAAGATACATGAATTCCTATGTTAATCACAGCCTTAATTACAATAGCCAAAATATGGAAGCAACCTCAATGTCCATCAATAGATGAACACATAAAAAAGATGTGGTATGTTTGTGTATATAAATATAAAACAATATTACTTGGCCATAAAAAAGAATAAAATCTTGCCATTTGTGACAATATGGATGGACCTAGTGGGTATTATGCTGAGTGAAATAAGTCAGACAGACAAAGAAAAATACCATATAATTTTACTTAAATGTGTAATCTAAAAAACAAATGAATAAACAAAACAGAAATAGATGCAAAGACACAGTGAACAAACTGGTAGATTTCACAGGGGAGGAGGTTGGATGAGATAGGTGAAGAGGAAAAAGAGTATTTGATATCTTGATCTGGGTGATGGTTACAGGAGTATATACACATGTCAAAATTCATTGAGCTGTACACTATAATTTGTGCATTTTATTGTTATGTACCTCAATTAAAAAAACAAAAACCAGTTCAACTACTACAGCATATTTAAGTACAAAATAAATGCAAATTTGTCCGATTATTCTGTAAGAGCTACACAAAGATGGAGCTACATAAAATCTCTCATACAGTAAGTTGCCTTTTCATTTTGTTGATGGTGTCCTTTGCTGTGCAGATTTTTAGTTTGATGTTGTCCCATTTGTTCATTTTTGCTTTTGTTTCCTTTACCTGGGAAGACATATCCATATTTATATCAATTTTGCTACACATACATACTGCTTAGTGTTACAGACAGCTTTAAAATTTAATATTATTTGTGTGGGCATAAAATGAGCGATGTAAACTTCCCTCTAGACACCCTATATAAAGTTCCAAATGGAAAAATTATTTTAGAAAAATGTGTGAGGAAAATCTATGGGTTTTTTTTTTCACTAACAATAATCATGAATTACAGACCTGGCTATTCATTAGGATCATGAGGACCTTGAAAAAATACAGAAAACAGGGACCTACCCTAGACCTACTAAATGAAACATGAAGATGGAGGTGAACTCAGGAATCTGTATTTTTAAAAAGCCCCTAAGTCATTCAGATGTAGACTGATTTAGAAACCATTAATGTAACATTTGATATTTCCCTTTAGACATGAAAGAACTCAAGAGCTGCAATTTGTGGCACATCTCTGAAAACTGAGAGGGGTTTTATGATGTATCATAATGATTTTTCTCATATCATAATTGTCTCACACACTGACTTAACTTCCTGGAAGTCAACTATGTAAGGAAAAATAAACTCTGATTACCATTGCATAATCTGTTTTTTTGTCTTTACGCATCTGATTAATGGAGGTTAAGTAACTTGGTGGAATGATAAGATTTTTGAACTCTCCAAAATCACACTTCTCATTTTTTATGCTGTTTTTCATGCACTCATCATGTACTATTTTCTGACACCAAATGCATCTGAGGGAAGAAACAAAGACAAGAATTAATTTTAAATCATAATCTTACTGATCTAGAAACCAATAATCTTTATCAAAAAAAGCAGAACAGTAATTTCATCACTACTGAGTATAAAATCTGGCAAATAAAAGATTTGTAACTACTGCACAGTAAACATAGAGCAATAGTTTGAACATTCTTGGCAGTTTAATCCAACTTACAGTGTGGTCTGGGGCCCCCAAGATCCTTTCAGGGCATCTCTGAACTTAAAATCATAATACTAAAATGCCATTTCACTTTCATTCTCTCGAAAGTGTATGGTGGAGATTTCCTGAAGCTATATTACATAATGCGGTATCAACAGACTGAATGCAGAAGCAGATTGGAGAATCTAGCTGACTTCTAAGCCAAAGAACTGTACAAATGGAAAATAATGTCACTCATCCCACTAAATTTTCATATAAATACTGTTATCATTATTGTTTTTTAAAACAAATATTTAAACGATTTTTCAGTTTTAATTTGTAGCATGGTAAATACCAGCAGATATAATCCACATAATCAAAAGCTGGTCCGGAACAATGGTTTTGTGTATTATTTATCTGTGCTTTGGTTGAAATAGGTTCATGAGTCCTAAAGTCCTTGCTTCTTAAATGCCCCACTGACCTGGGTCCTTGAAGCATTTCCTTATGGTCTAGTTTGAAAACCTCTCAACTTCTAACCATCTGTGAACACTTAAGTAAATACAGACAGAAGACATTTACACTCAGATTTGCCTCTGTGTTTGGACCCATGTGTGAAACAGGCAGACAATGGTGCTAGTAAAGGTCCTGGGTTTCTATTATTAATCTGCTAAGTATTTGATCCACTCAACAGGTAAGACAGATCTGGCTGTATAGACAAAATAAAGACTGTACAATGGAAAATAATGGTTATAATTAAATGAATTAAAAACAAGAGGATAAAAACACTTTCACTCAAAGGTCAACTCTTTCGGACTTCTTTTTTCAGGTTTTTTTTCTCGTTTGATGTTCAGATTTGTCAAGTAATTACTGCTATTTACTTGAGTCCTATTTCCTATTTACTGCTGAAAGACCAATAATCTGCATGATCTGTTACAGGAAAAAACATAATTTACATGATAACCTTTGTTAATACTTCCTTTCAAACTAAACTTGAGAAACTACAATAGACTGCTTATGTAGCTGAAGTATATATTACCTCCATTACTACCCTTTAACTTTAAAATTGTGTATTATTACTGAAAATCTGAAAGGTTACCCGCTCAGTTATTTCAGTGTTTTCCTCTAGGAAGAAAAGTGGGAGTGAGTGATGAGAGGAACATTCATTTTTTTACACTATATTTTTTTGTATTGCTTGAGATTCTAATAACCAGAATATATTCATGAACTATTTTATAAATTTTTTAAAATGTCTTAAATAATATCAGCTTATGCTTGAGAATTTAGAAAACACAGAAAGACATAAAATAAAAATCATCCAGAGACAGTTATTCTTAACTTTTTGATGTACTTTAGTGCATGTTTTTTTTTGCCCCAGTAGGGATATAAGGCATATATATCTGGAAAGGACTTTTTGTCCCACATTATATCATGAATATTGTCCTATGCCATTTAATATTTTTTAAAAATATGGTTTTTAAAGAATATAATATCACATCATACTGATGTACCATTATTTATTTAATCCCTTTTCAGTTTCTTTAAAAAACATTTAGATAGTTTATTTTTCTAAAGGTTAAACATAAATGAGATTATTTCCCTGGAATTTCAGAATTCAAGTATTGAACCAAAGGGTACACATTTTCCTAAGGTTCTCGACATGTGTGTCAATATGCTTGTTAATCTATGCACGAAGGTGTCCATCATACTTAACACTTCATAATACTGCTCATTAGTACTTAACATTTTTTCTTGACAATTTGGTAGGCAGAAAAAGCATTTTGTTATTTTAATTTGGAGTCTCTGATCACTCGATGAAGTTGAATATTTTCTTGCTTTTTTTGGTGAATTGATTCATGTCTTATATTCATCTTTCACCAAGTTTTAATAACTGCATGTGCTTTTTATTTCTGTAGAATATCAACCTCTTGTCATCCTTATGGCAAACTTGTTTCAGTTCTATTTTACATACACATTTTAAGTTAAGTTTATTTTTTTGATAGATGTGTATTTCCTTTTGTGATTTAAATGCTTGTATGCTTTGACATCCTTTACCATTTCCAAACTAAATACTCACCTATAGTTATTTTTTCCCCCCATAATTCAGTTTTCATATTTATGTCTTTAATTCAATGCCTCTTAACCTTCTGAGGCTACTGATTCCATTGGGAAACTTGTAGAGGTGTCAGGCTTTCCTGGAGCCTTATCTGTCTAAGAACTAAGAACTGCTTTAATCCATCTGGAGTTTACTTTGGTGAACAGTGTGGTATGAAGATCTAATTTAACCCTAGAGAACAGTTGTCCTAGTATGATTTATAAAACCTTTCCTATTTCCACTGATTGTGACATCTTTTATCATCTACTCAATTCTTCAAAATTTCAGAAAAAATTATTTTAACCAAGATGATGGCTACAATCAGCCTTGGCTCTGTAAAGGTAAAGCCAACACTCACTAGTTATTCAACGTTATACCTTTCCTTACAAATACTATATTCAAAATTGGGACCTGATCTCTATATATTTTGTAATTAGTATTCAACTCAATTTAGATTTCAAACCTGTGGGGAAAATAAGACCTCACTAAAAATGTCTTGATATTTTAGTTTTAGCAATCATGTCATTGAGTAATTGCTGTGATCTTAATTTTCCCAATTTTTTATGAAAAATTTTAAACTTAAACAGAAGTCAGAAGAATAGCAAAATGGATACCCTTAAGCCAGCCCTTCACTCTAATTCTTAATATTTCTCCCACACTTCTCTCTTTACATATAAAGTCACATACTGCTGTATCATTTGAAAGTATATTGCAGACATCATGAAATTTCACCTTTGAAGACTTTAGCATGTATTTCAAAAAAACAAGAATAGTCTCCTTACCTTTTAAAATGTTTTGTGTTTAGTAATATTTTTTACAATGAACACAGGTACACCCACCACCTACATTCCAGCATTAATGTCTTACTGTAATTACTTTTGTTACATTTCTATCCATCCATTAATCCATCCTATTTTTGGTGCATTTTAAGTAAATTGCAGACATTGGAGTACTTCCTAAATACCTCAGCAAGCAAACACATCATTACCTAGGGTTCATTATTTGTCTATAGGTTTTTTTTTTTATTTTGGTATCATTAATCTACAATTATATGAATATAGGTTTTTCTAATATAAAATTTACATAATGAAATGTACAAGTCTGTTACATTTGTTGAGTTTGACAAGTGAACATATCACTAAAATCCTTATCAAGACATTACCCGTAAGTGCCAGGCTTCTGCAGGAGTATGACTGCTTTATTTTTTTAAAAAGAAGTTTCACAAAAGGGAAAAAAACTGTTGGCAACACTGCTTATTATTTTTTCTAAAGTCACCTGTGCACAACAGCTCTCTTCTTTATCAGGCTGAAGGAGGCAGAACTGTACATGAAGTAGAGATGGTCATTTATGAAATTCACAGCAGAACCAGGGTAGACAAACTACAAATACATCTGCCGCCTGATTTTGTGACTAAAGTGTTATTGGAATACAGCTATACTCATTCGTTTATATACATTTATGGCTGGTTTTACGTAACTATGATGGATGGTAGTTAAATAATCATGACAGACCATATGGTCTGCATAGCCTAAAATACTTAGTTCTAGCTCTTTACAGAAAAAGTGTGCTATTCTAGAAGATGATTTGGTATATTTCATTGCTCTGGATAATTACTGAAATGAATAAACACATACCAACAGAACATTAAAACATAAAATTTAAGATCAAGGCTGAGACTAAAGTGGCCAGTGTAACTGAGTCAGACGCTTTGTTTTATTATTCAGTGTGTGTATATGGGAGTGGGGTAGGGTGCAATTAAGAAAAGGCCTTATATAAAAAGGTACTTTAAGTTTTCTTAGTGAGAGACAAAACACTAAACGGAACAAAGTTTTATTTAATAAATGTAATGAATACTTCAATATAACCTAATTGCCTGTTTTAGTCAGAAGAGTGGGGAGAAGGAAAAAAAAAGTATAGGGACGAGTGACAAGATACTACGTGGCTGAAAGGTAGATGCAGAAATACATACACGAAAGAAAAAATCTACAGGGAAAGCAGAATCTAGCAAAGAGCCTGGTACATAAATACATGCTCAGGAAGTGAAACTAACTATGGAATGAGTATAACTTAGCAGGCCCTTGTCACTTATTCTGCAATTTAGTGGCTAGAGGCTTTGAAATCAGTTATCACCTGTAATTATAACTTTGAAATACTAACTTGAACAGTATTCATAGTTCACTTAAAATCTCAGGCTTCTTTAGAATGTGATGCAGTTGTGGAAAAACTTCCCGAGGCTGGATAAAATCCAGAGGGACAGTCTTGTCTGTGTACAAAAGTTCTAAATAGATATTTATTTTATTTCTTTCCAAAATATCTCATTCCTACAGAAGGCCATAGCAGACAGTAATCTTGCATCAAATCATTGGCTAAAATAAATCAGAACACTGCAAAATATGGACAGTTTCAGGACACTGTGTTCTCTTCTCCTGGGAGAAGAGATAAATGCTCATTATTACACAGAGACAGTGTCTACCATAGGTGAGGGGTTCTAGCATGCCGAGAACAGACTGCTTAGTCACTGGTAAGAATGAACTAATGATGAAAAGTACATCTATTTCACAAACATTCACTGTGCTCAAAGGGGAGGACACAAAATTAAGGACAGAGGTTCATGTTTTAAAAGATAGGTAAGTACAGCTGGTTCTCCAATTTTAGAATCACCTGCAAAGCCTGGTAAAACAAAGATAGCTGGTCCCCAGTACATTTGTGATTCAGCTGGTCTGGGGAAGGGCTAGGGGTTGTCA